ACCGTGAGAGATGCATGTACTTATATGGAGAATTCAAATCCTCAGATAAGAGATACGATTTAAATAAAAAGCCCCTCGGGCTCCAGTTGGCAGATTCTAATTATCCAGGAGAAATGCCGCTGAGGCTGTAGGACTGTGAGACATTCCGCGGGTAGACCAGCATTTACTACACGGAGGGGAGGCAGAAATGGTATTTGTACAAAATCGTGTACATCGAGTTTTCCCGGTGAAACCACATTTTAAAAACTCCGTCGGAAAGACCAGTTGTCAATGAACTCCCACAACGGTGGCCTCTGCAAATGTAAAAAATGCCTACTTTATCACGTGAAACTTTGTAATGACTACAGATTTTCATCGGAAGGGAATTCTATTTCCTGGGAAGCGGTGACTGAGGAGTTGAATCTGTCCTCTGATGCTCATGTGAAATATTAAGGAGTGGGCACAGATGCCGGCTGCCACTGCACCAGAACCCACAACCTTGAACAGTGCCTGGCACCCAGGAGGCATTCCTTTGGCTGAAGAGTGACCAAAGGCTTTGTGAAAACAACACGAATTTGCATTTTGCGTACTTTTCACATCTCTCTCACGTTGCCGGCTGCCCTTCCTCCTTCAGCAGCGTCTGAGCCCAGTGAATTTCCTGCGGCGCGGTGAAGAGTGTGGCCTGCTGGCTGGGCCTCTTCCCACGCAGAGAGGTCTCCAGCGGGGTTCCTGGGCTCGTGCGGGGTTTCGGGCTGGGCTCGGGTGCTTGCCATTTATTGAAATGGATGGAGCGAATTACTGAGATTTCTCCTTCTTCTGTATTCATTCCTGCCCAAGGATTACCAAAGACATTCCCGCTGCCAAAGCCAGTGAGTCCTCACTGTATCCAGCGTCCCCTCATCTGACACCATTAACCACTTCCTCTCCCCTCAAGCTCCCTTCTCACGTGGCTTCCAAGACACCTGTACTCTCGAGGTTCCAGCCTCCTTCTCTGGCTCCTTACTCTCCACAGCTCTGTCCTTGGCCCCCTGCCATTCGATACACTGTCCCTTGGTGACCTCATCCGAGCAACCCATCGTTTAAAAGCCTCCCTCCCATACTGTGTTTCCCACCAGAATGGTCTTCTGACCTTCAGAACTGTCTACCCAACTGTCTTCTGCCAATTTCTATATGGATGTTTCTGCAGCATCTTGAACTCAACACATCCAGTAACTTCACCATCTTCTTCCTCCAGCACACCTGTCCCTCCTCCCATAGTCTTCCTCTGTGAACGGCCCCACTTTCCAAAAACAGGCTTCCCAAGCCCCAAACTGCGGGAGCATCTTACACTCCACCTTTCAAGCCCACATCAAATCACTTTCCAAGCCTCATCAAATTCACTTTCTTTTTTTTTTTCCTCACCCGAGGACATTCTTCCATTTTTTGTTCAGGTAGAGTGGGAGGGAGAGAGAGGAACAGAGAGAGAGAGAGAAACATCGATGTGAAAGGGACACATCGAGTGGCTGCCACCCGCACGACCGACCAGGGCCATGGACAAACTGCAACCGAGGTACGTGCCCTTAGCGGGAACCGAACCCGGGTCTCTCAGGACCGCAGGCCGACGCTCTAACCGCTGAGCCAAACCGGCCAGGGCTAACATGTTTGTTTGCTTTTTCTATCCTCACCTGAGGACATATTTTCATTTTTTGTTCAGATAGAGTGGGAGGAAGAGAGAGAGAAACATAGATGTGAAAGGGACACATCGAGTGGTTTCCACCCACACAACCCAACCAGGGCCGGGGACAAACTGCAACTGCGGTACGTGCCCTTAGCGGGAACTGAACCTGGGTCTCTCTGGACCTCAGGCAGCCACTCTAACCGCTGAGCCAAACCAGCCAGGGCAAAAATTTCTTTTTTTTTTTATCCTCACCCGAGGACATTTTTCCATTTTTTGTTCAGATAGAGCGGGAGGGAGAGAGAGGAAGAGAGAGAGAGAGAAACATCGATGTGAAAGGGACACATCGAGTGGCTGCCACCCACACGACCAACCAGGGCCGGGGACAAACTGCAACCAAGATACATGCCCTTAGGGGGAACCGAACCCGGGTCTCTCGGGACCGCAGGCTGATGCTCTAATCGCTGAGCCAAACCGGCCAGGGCAAATTCACTTTCCAAGCCTCATCAAATCACTTTCTAACTGGCTCGTGAAGATGTCCTCTGCTCACATCCTGCTGCTTTAATTCAGGTCTTTACCTTGCTCCAGATTATTACAATGGCCCTCTGGTGAACCTCACTCCACTGGAACCCAGTCTTTACATCTCAACAGACAGAGCAATCCTTCCCAGGCCTCCCCACCACCCTCAGGATCAAATCCGGCCTTAGAACGGCAAACAAGTCCTTTGTGAGTGAATGCCTCTGGCTGGCCCCCTGCCTCAACTCCCACCATGGTATACACTCCAACCTCCCACCACGAGATGGACCCACAGGTTCATTCGTGACTCTGTGTACACTGTGCCCACTCAGCTTCCGCATCCCTTTCCCAGTGGCCTGAACCTTGCTGAGATGACGGTCTCCTTAGTAACCCTAACAGCCCGCCATGATCCAAAGACTTCTCGTACGGCTTCTTCCGCTGAACTATAAATTACGTGAGGGCAGAAATCTCCTTCCTAGAATATTTTTGGTGCTTAATATTTAAAAGGTGCTTAATGGGTGTTTGTTGAATAACTGTACCTGGGTCAAACTCGAGAAGGTTTTCCATAAGACATAAACTATTATAGACAGTAGCCACGTTCAGGAAAAGGTGACTTTCAGTATCTTTCTAAAATTAACTACCACCATCACCAGCATGCACCTTTCATTACCGAAGAGCTAGGTGTGTTCAAGGTGTGTGTCGCTATTATTCTGATGATCTTTTCGTACTAGTAGCCATTAAGGTTTAGTTTCTCAGTTCCGCCACTTTTTACATCCCGAGTGTAATTAAAATTGGCCTGACTGCTTTGTCTGCAATAGCAGTGTTTCACCTCTCATGCATACTTCTCTCTCAAGCGCACGAGATTTCTGATAAACCTTAAATTCAGGCTCTTTCCTGCTTGTTCTTAAAACACAAATAACACCACCATCACCAACCACAGAACAAGCAAACAACCCACACTGTTTTTTTTTTTTTAAATCCTCACCCGAGGATATTTTTCCATTTTTCATCAGATAGGGTAGGAGGGAGGGAGCGAGGGGGAGAGAGAGAAACATCGATGTGAGAGGGACACGTTGATTGGTCGCCTCCCACATGACCCAACCAGGGCCGGGGACCCAGGAACAAACCACAACCTAGGTATGGGCCCTGAATGGGAATGGAACCTGCAACCCTGTGTTCTAGAGACTGAAGCTCGGCTGCTGAGCCAAACCGGCCACACATTTTTTTTTTTTTTTTATCCTCACCCGAGGACATTGGCTGCCACCCGCACGACCAACCAGGGCCGGGGACAAACTGCAACCGAGGCACGCGCCCTTAGCGGGAACCGAACCCGGGTCTCTCAGGACCGCAGGCCGACGCTCTAACCGCTGAGCCAAACCAGCCAGGGCAACCAACCCACACTTTTAACTTTTTATCTCAGAAGAGACATTTATACAGAATGGATTGCATCTTATCTATACAAAGTATATCTTCATCTGTCAACCTCCAGAGGATGGGGGAACTTTTACATTTATACTTTATGGCCCCTGGAATCTGGATTAATTTTATTTTTCCTGGTTCCAAATATTACATTAAGGACTGTTCCATGAAAGAAATTAATGAGTGCCCTGGCCAGTGTGGGTCAGTGGTCACAGCATCAGACTGCACACCAAAGGGTAGGGTTCCCCATCAAGGGCACTACCTGGGTTGCAGGTTTAATTTCTGGTGGTGGGAGCCCAGGAGGGAGGCAACCAATACATGTTTCTCTCTCTCCCCCTGCCCCCACTTCCTCCCTCCCTTCCACTTTCTCTAAAGATCAATGAAGAAAAAAAATCCTCAGATGGATTACCAAAAAAAAAAAAAAAAGAAAAAAAAAAGAAATTAATGAGTAAACTCTTATTCAGATACTGTGATGAAACACATTTTTGCAAAACAAAAGAAATGAAAAAGTCTCTGTGTTTCTTAGGAGTTGGCCCTCTTTGTAACCATTACTCAACCGGATCCTGAGACAGCAACAAGGACCCCTGGGAACAACACTGAAGGTCCCAGAGCAGTCCCAGTCTGATGTCCCTAAAACAACGCATCAAATTCAATAAATCGAGCCTGGGGTTCACCTTAAGGCTGGCCCAAGAAATTTAGCAAGGAAAAAAAAAATGTGATTTAAAAAAAAAAGAGGGAAAGAAAAATGTACTCTTTAATGTCTATGTCTTGTCAAAGTAGGGTGGCTATGTGTGGAATTATTACGGATTTGACCCAAGTCTTTCCAGCCAGGTCATTTAGGTGGCATCGCAAGTATATGCAACCTAACCCAGAATAATGTGAATTCTCATCCAGAGACAGACACAGGAGACCACAGGACTCTTCTCCCATCAGGAGGCTTTAAGAAATGGATAGAAAAACACTGGTAATGGAGCTTACAAGGCAAAACAAACCCGTCGCTGAAAACATGAAAGCGAATCAACAACAAAGGCCCCACCGACGAAAAACCTGCCGCTTCCCAAAGGTGCAGAATGCAGAACCGAGTTCCTGACCCGGATTCGAGGCGGGCCTGGGCGCTCTGGGTCCCCGCGCGGGGAGCGCAGGGGGCTTGGTGGGAGCGCAGAGCAGGGCCGCTTCCCCACGATCCCGGGTCCGAGCAGGTAGGCTCCCCGCTTCCCCCACACGCGGAGATCCGGGAAGAAGGAGAGAGGCGCCGCACCTCCCGGGCCGCCGCGGCCGCGCTCCCCACCGGCTGGGTCCCTGGCCCCGTGCGCGCAGGCCGCGCCCGGTCCCCGCCTCGGCGCCAGCGCGCAGGGCCCCGATCCCCGCGAGGGGCGAGTGCAGCCCGGAGTCCCCGCCGCCCCGGAGCCCCGCCCGGCCCGGCCGCACTCACACAGCCCGAGCGCCGCCGCCAGCACCGACCACAGAGAGCGCCAGCGGTCTGGAGCCGCATTCACCATCCCGGCCGCGGCGGGCGCGGCCATCGTCGTCTGCTGCAGCCCCGACGCCGCGCACCAGGGGCCCACTGCGGTTCGCTCCGCTCCAGGCAGGGGCTCGGAGCACCTCGCCACCGCCGCGCCCAGAGGCACCTCCGCGCCGCGCCCCCGCTCGCGGCCCCGCCGCCGCCTGCAGCCCCCCGACCGGGCCCGCCCCGCGGCCCGCTCATTGGCCGGTCTCGCGCCCCTTGAAGGATGCTATTGGCAGATGCTGACTATCCATCACCCCCTCTCCTCAGGCGAGGCCACACCTCCTAGGTCCCGCCCAGGCGCCCATCCTGGTGCTGGAGGCCAGCACCCGGCTCCGCCGCCGCCGCCCTGCGCTCTGCCTGCGTGGCTGTCCGCCTGCCTGTCCCCGCCGCCCCACCGCCTGCCAGTGTCCCCTGTGCGTCTTTTAGGGTCCCATCCCACAGACCCCTCCGTTGTCTCTCCTTGTCGCGGATCTTCGCCAGGGTGTCCTGCCTCTGTTAGGTCTTGGTTTCTGTGAGCCTCACCTAAAGAAACAGCAGTTTATTTACAAAATTCGTAAGGGGTACGGTGGGGGAGACTTCTGCTGCAGTGGTCCGGCTATAACACATCTCCCCCTTGCCCTGCCCCCAAGGCCTGTCCTTTGCGTGCACTGGACAACGTATGTGTTGCAATTTGAGAAATCTGCTAGTGTGAGAAGTCGTCTCCATCTTGCCTGAATCTCCTCTTAGGAAACCCCCTTTGGGGCTTCAGAAGCGCTGGGGACTGAGAACTCTTTCCTACTACCTGGAACACAAAGGTGCTTTTTGTTGGGTTTGCTTCTGCAAACAGGGCCTCTCTCCATTTGTCAATAAAAGCGGGGATGGGGAACCTCCTCACCCTGACTCTGAAGTGCCTCTCGGACCCTGTTTGCTGGGTTTGGTCACCTTGGCCCAGAACAGGGTCCGCCACGTGCTGGTTGCCCAGTAAACACTGAAAAGTGTGTGGAAGGGTCCCTCTGAGAATAGCTTCCAAAATGGAAAGCCAGAGGCAGAGAAGGAGAAAGATGACTCAGGCGGGAGGCTGATAGAGTGAGGGACAGGAACACGTTATGGCCCAGTAGGCTGAGCAGGGGAATGCTATGGTGGAACTCTCATTTCAGGGTTTCGACGAAAGTGGAGGTTATTAGCGCCCTTCCTGGTGTTTGGGCCTTACTGGCCTTGTAGGACAGCAAACTCTTAATACAGCCACTCACTGCTTGACACCAGGGACACCTTCTGAGAAATGCGTGTTGGGCGACTTCCTGGTGTGTAAGCATCAGCTTGCACGCACAACACCTGGCCGGCGGCTGTCGCTCCTGGGCCACCAGCCTGCACGGCTCGTCACTGTACCAAACACCCGCGGGGAAATCCGTGACGAGACGGTGACGCAACGAGAGGCTGCACAACGCAGAGGCCGTGCCACTGCTGCTGGCGTCACCGCCGAGCTCCCCGCCAACTGCCCTGCTTCTGCAAGGAGGGTGTCCACGCCCAAAGGAAGGTAAAGTAAAAGTGCGGTAAACACATAAACCAGCGGCATAGCTGTTCATCATCGACCGTCACGTCGTGGCCGCAGCGACCGTGCGCGGCTGTCCCTGGACTGGCAGCCAGCAGGTTCGGGCGCACCGGAGTCGCCACAAACGGCGCGTAAGGCTTTGCTTTACGACGTCACGCCGGCTCCTACGACGGCTGCTGCGACGTCAGGGCGGCTATGACGTCACGGGCGGGAGGAACAGAATGTTAGCCCGCCGGCCTCCGGGCGGGCTGTCCTTGAGTGAGAGGTTGGGAGGGCGGCTGGGTGCGCAGCCCGCGGGTTCCTTCTGCGCCCCGGCGATGGAGTTGGTGGGTTTGGTTTGGTTTTAGGGTCAGTGAGAGGAAACGAAAAGAGCCCGACGAGCCGTTTTGCCCCGTTTCTCTCAAAGAGAACCGCCCGACGTGGCTCTGGAACGCCACAGGCTGGAAAGACTGCGAGTGCATCAGCCACTAAGCGCCGTCGACCTCGGACCCCTGGACTTGACTCTCAGAAGCACACGGTCCTCCGGTGCAGACAGTGCTGCACTACATGTGTAAGGTGCCTGAAGACAGGGCGAATGAAGGAGAAACCCAAGGCCGACAGGGGCAGTGGTTCCCAAAGACATGCGACGTGAGATGTTTCTCCGTACCTGGGCTGCACCTCGACACACGCACCCCCCTCTTCTGAGAACCACCAGCCCCAGAGGGGTCGGGAAAGATGCACGGAGAGGGTCGTGTTCGAGGTGGACTTGAGAGGATGAATACAGGCCCTAAAGAGAAAAAGGAGAAGCAGACTCAGAAACGGGGAAGCAGCCTCAGGTGCGAGACATGGTGTGGCCTGGGGGAAGGAGGAAATGCTGGAGGAGCCTTGGGCTGTCTCCACCGAGGCCGTGGTCAGAGGAGCCCTGGGCTGTCTCCACCGAGGCCGTGGTCCCAGGAGCCCTGGGCTGTCTCCACCGAGGCCGTGGTCCCAGGAGCCCTGGGCTGTCTCCACTGAGGCCGTGGTCCCAGGAGCCCTGGGCTGTCTCCACTGAGGCCGTGGTCCCAGGAGCCCTGGGCTGTCTCCACCGAGGCCGTGGTCCCAGGAGCCCTGGGCTGTCTCCACCGAGGCCGTGGTCCCAGGAGCCCTGGGCTGTCTCCACCGAGGCCGTGGTCCCAGGAGCCTTGGGCTGTCTCCACTGAGGCCGTGGTCCCAGGAGCCTTGGGCTGTCTCCACTGAGGCCGTGGTCCCAGGAGCCCTGGGCTGTCTTTATTGTAGGCAGTGGGGAGGGATGAAAGGGTTGGGCGTGTGAAGGGAGCACAAACAGTGTTGGCAGTGGGGGTGGGAAGAAAGGCAAGGTTGGAGAAACATTTCAGAAAAAAGAAGGCAGCACTGGGTATAAATTGGGTGGTAAGTTTCATCAAGAGAAAACATCTAGAGAGCTGTGACCTCCACTTTCCAGCCGGAGTGGAGAGGATGCTGTCCGTTCCCTAAGACGAAGGTTCCAGGTGGACCTGGTCTGTGAGGAAAGCTGATGAGCTGGGCCTTCCCTGCGCTTAGCTGATATGCCGAGGCCACCCAGGTGGCCAGCCCAAGGCAGCTGGCTCCGTCTGGGGCAGCAGAGGGGCAGCAGAGGGGCGAGCGGCAGCCTGAGTGAAGCGTTTCCACAATAAACAATATCAGACCGTCAGTCGATAGTAAACATTTGCCGAATGAATCGATGAGTGTTTACTGCATTAGTCTCGAGAGCTTACAAAGGAAAATGCCGGGCGAGGTCGTTTTCTCTCCATGGTCCTTGCACTGTAGGTTCTGACCCTTCCGTCAGGATAGTAAATGGAAAAACCCCTTGCGTCCCAATCATTATGGTTAGCCTGAGGTTCTCATTCAACAAACCTCCTCCTTTTCAGATACCTCCTCCTTCCTCCTGGAAATTCCTCTTTCCAGCTCAAGCTGTCCCGCAATCCAATCCAATCAAGGGAAGACTTCTGATAAGGTCAGAAAGGCCCTTTTTAAAGCGCTACTGCCCCTGGAAGGAATGGGCTCCTAAGGTCAGAATCAGCAATAAGGAGAGTCGAATGCAGAGGTCTTGGGATGACAGTTATCTGTGCACAGGCCATCGGCCTCACTGGGCCCCTGCTCCCTGAGTGCATGGTAAACACACTAATAAGAAGGAGCGCCCTGGCCAGTTTGCTCAGTGGTTAGAGCGTCAGCCCGCAGACCAATGAGTTGCAGGTTTGACTCCAGTCAAGGGCATGTACCTCAGTTGCAGTCGGGCCCTGGCCCTGGTCGGGTGATGGGGGAGGCAGCCATCTATCACGTGGCTCTATCACATTGATGTTTCTCTCTGTCTCTCTCTCCTTCTCATTCTATCTGATAATAAGTAGAAAAATATCCTCAGGTGAGGAATAAAAAAAACAACAAAAAACAGGAAGGAGTCTACCTTGGAAACTCCTCAGGGCTCTGTACTTTCCACAGAGATGAGGTAAGGGACACTAAGGGTCATCTGGTGTTGACAAATATATACGAGAAGAATTTTCCAGGGCCAGAATTCATGGGAGAGAGCAGGAAGAGGTGACAGGCACCAACATTTCCAACAGATCTTCGTGACTGTGGGGGCCCTGGCACCCCTGTATTCTCAGGGGCCTTCCCTCCCTCCGTGTGTTTTGAGGTTTGTTGCTAGAGCACAGTTGGAATGTTGTGATCCCTGGGTGGTGGTAACCAGAGGTTTCTGGAACACTAAGCATTGGACAATTAATGGATAAATATCAGATAGAATAAAAGGGGAATCCCAGGCCACACAGAGAAAGATTTGCCTGAAGCTAAATCGGTCTCATTGACATTTCTGTAGGGAGAAGGTCTTAATGCAGGAGAAGAGTTGCATTTTTACTAGAAATCTGTGACATTCTGACAGAGTCCTACGGTCTCTGATGCTCTTGGGCACAAGGGCACCAAACTGGGATAACAAGAGTAATGGGGTCGGTGGGAGGTGTTGATTGTTATAGGAGGTGTGTCACCAGGCTTCTTCATTCACTGTGACTGGAGTAGCGTGTTCCTGGAGAGCCTCTGTTTTCCCCAGCCCTGCAGCCATCGAGATACTCCATTCCTTCTCCAGGGAAGGGTGTGCCCTGCGGAGGGTCACAGGCATTCCTGTCACCTAGGGAGAGTGAGTTCCTGACAGTGTGCCTGCTTCCTAGTTGTGAGGGGCAAATGAGATACGCTAATGGAGCCTGCAGGGTCAAAGACAAACTCTTTTTCAATCATAGAGAGAAGTTGGAGGAAGAAAAAGAAGACCCCCCCAAAATGATAATAAACTCTAGTGAAGTCAAATGGGAAAGGAGAGCATTGAGTCCTCTTAACTTCGCAGACAAAAGGTTTCAGAAATCTCGAGTGGTTACGTTCTTTTCCTTAAGTTATGTTTTGTAGTTCCCTGATTTGGGGGCAATAGAAACCTCTGAAGTTTTCAGGGCACATTTTATTAGGTTTGATGAACAAACTATTCTGGCATCTAGAACTAATTAACATTTTAAAGTGTGTTCTTATCCTCTTTGCCTTGAGCTGTAAGAAATAAAGACCAA